AGATTCATGAGAGGAATTATTCTAGCCATGATTTGGAGTTGGCAGCTATAGTTTTTATGCTTAAGGTTTGGAGGAACTATTTATATGGTTCGAGATTTGAGGTTTTTAGTGATCATAAAAGTTTGAAGTATTTGTTTGATCAGAAAGACCTAAATATGAGGTAGAGGAGGTGGCTATAATTTTTGAAGGGCTATGACTTTGAGTTGAATTACCATCTTGGTAAGGCTAATATGCTAGCAAATGTTTTGAGTAGGAAGTCTTTGCATATGTTAGCACTTATGGTTAGAGAGATATAATTGATTGAGCAGTTCAAAGATCTTATCTTAGTATTAAGATGACACTGCAGAGTGTGTTGATAGGTATGCTGAAGTTGACTAGCAATGTTTTATAAGAGATAAAAGAAGGTCAGAAATCATACTTGGGATTGGTTGACCGATTAGTGTTAATTAATCAAGGTAAAGAAGTAGATTTCAAAGTGGATGAGAATGGATTTATGAGATTCCAAGATAGAATTTGTGTGCCATACTTTCCAGAGCTTAAGAAAAGAAATCTTTAGGAAGGTCACAAAAGTGGTTTAAGCAATGATATCGATGCTACGAAGATGTACCGAGATCTTAAGAAGATGATTTGGTGGTTAGGTATGAAAAGTATGTTGATGAGATTGCATATTCTTCTTTGAATTTTCAGAATTCGAAGATCGAGCATCAGAAGTCGTATGTGTTGATGCAACCTTTGAGTATTCCTGAGTGGAAATGTGACATCATCTCTGTGGATTTTGTGGTGTGTTTGTTGAAGACATCAAAAAGAAGTGATTTGATTTGAGTTTTTATGGATAGACTGACCAAGTCAGCTCATTTTATTCTGATGAAGATCAGTTACCCATTGTAAAAGCTAACAGAGGTTTACGTTAGTAAGATTGTGAGGTTGCATGGTATTCCTTTGAGTATTTTTTTAGATATAGATCTGATATTCACGTCAAGGTTTTGTGAGAGTTTGTAGGAAGCATTGGGAACCAAGTTGAGGTTAAATTCTGCATACCATCCGCTGACGGATGGCCAAACAAAAAAGATTATCCAATATTTGAAATATTTTTTGAGAGCTTGTGTTTTGGAACAAGAAGGTAATTGTGATAGCTATTTCCATTAATCGAGTTCACTTATAACAACAGTTACCATTCTAGTATTTGAATGACACCTTTTAAGGCTTTGTATGGAAAAAGATGTGTGACTCCTTTGTGTTGGTATGATTCAGGTGAGAATGTTATGCTTGGACTATAGATCGTTTAGTAGACTACTAAATAGATAAAGATGATTCAGGAAAATACGAAAGCTTCGCAGAGTAGACAGAAAAGTTATCATGAGAAGCGAAGAAAGGAACTTGAGTTCCAAGAGGGATATCATATGTTCTTGAGGGTCACAACGATGACTAATGTTGGTCGTGCATTCAAGTCTAGAAAGCTCACACCTCATTTTATTGTTTTGCATTAGATCCTCCAGAAAGTAGGAGAGATGGCCTATAGAGTTGCCTTACCGCCCTTTCTTTTGAATCTTTATGATTTTTCTATGTGTCGCAAATTCATAAGTATATTTATGGTCTGTCTCATGTGATCCAATTGGATGATGCACAAGTGAGAGATAACTTGACTGTTGAGACATCACCCTTGCGGATTGAGGATTGCAAAGTGAAACACTTGAGAGGTAAGTAGATCGTTTAGTGAAGGTAGTGTGGGGGGGACCTATTGGAGGGAATGTGACTTGGAAGCTGGAGAGTTGGATGAGAGAATCTTATCCGGAGCTGTTTCCTTCAAGTAATTTTCGAGGGTGAAATGCTTTAGGTGGGGGAGAGTTATAACACCCCAAATTTTTGTTTATTTATATTAGTTAAGTTAAAATAATTTTATTATTTTATGTTGGTGTTAGAATGACTTACATAATTTATTTAGCATTGTGGGAATTAATTAGAATTTTTATAATAAATTGATTAAGAAAATAGGAGAAATATAAGAATTGAGAGGAATATAGCATTTTAAAGAAATTGGTGGGGCAAGGAGTGATTTACCAATAATTGAGGGGGAATTGTGGGATAAATAAAATAAATAGAAAATTAGGTTTTATCTGTTTTAAATAAGAGATGTGAAAATTAAAAGGAGGTTAAAAAAAGAGGAGTAAGTGGAAAAGTGGAAAAGTGGAAATAGTAGAGAAAAAGGAAAGAACATATCTAGAAGTGGAATTCCCATTGCTGTAAGTTCAAATTTTTACTCATTTATATGTGTAAATTCATGAAAGGTAGAGAGGGATCCTCACCATCTTCTTTGTTTTCTATTATGTTTTTTCCATTGTTGAATTTTGAGTGTTTTGGAGAAGGTTAATATATCTCAGTTATTGTGATAAATAGAATTTTGTGTCATGATTTTACTGTTAAAATTTGTGTACAACTGCATGTGAAATCTAAATTGTTGATGCTCATACTAAGAAGTGTTAATATGATGACTGTGGTATTTGATTTTGTGTTAAGTTGATAAAATCAAGAGTAATCTGTGGGTAGTTATTGTAATAATCATTGTATAATTATGGATGATAATTTTCTATGAGAATTGAGTATTTTGGGATCAAAACCAGAGCTTTAGAAGTGCTTACATGGTAGAAAACCCACTTCTGCATTCTACAGTGGTGACGCACATCATCGCTATGAAGAGTTGATCGTTAATGTGTTGAGAGAGATGACGACTATCAGCCTGGTGACAGGCTAGCTGTCATGGTCTCTATAGGAGACAAACTTGCTAAATGTCCATTAGGTGATGAGTGTGTGAGGAGGGGGATGACGAACACGTCATGACGACTATCACGATGGAAGGGTTAACCGTTATGACTGCATTTACTCGTTTTGGGTCGCCAAATTAATTTTTAGAGTTGTTTCTGATTCAAGTGACTGTTGGTTGCTGTTTTATTGTGTTTGACGAGTTGTTGAATAAAATTGATGTGCATTAAAAGTTGTGTGAGTACTTTGTGAATGTATAAACATGTGTTGTCGAATGCTTGTTTGATTTGGTATTGGTGAGTTATAATTGCATATCATACTTGTTATATTGAGATGATAGCCTTATTAGCGATGTATGTGGTTCAAAGGGGAACTAGTGATGTTATTACATTTGTAAGTGTTGTTGCATTTCATGTATCATGATGTACGAACTTCAGTTCAGTGTGTATTGGTTTAAAAGGGGGGGGGGGGGGACTAGTGGCGAGTTCTGATTCAGAAGGGGGGATTAGTGATGAGTCCTGATTAAGAAGGGGAGATAAGTGAAGAACATATTTCGAAGGGCGACCCTTGGTGAGTGGACTAAATCAATAATATACCTCTAATGTCCAAATTGGAACCACATGCATAAAGAGTTGAGAAGTTGATGCATTTTATACATACCCACTTTGCGATTGTGTTATTATTATCATTAGTGCATTGTTGTGAATGATATTTATAAATTGGTGATTGTTTGATTTTGTCTGATTGAGATATGAGTAAATTGTTGTTATTGTGAATAATTCATACTTTGATGATTGGTATGAATGATTCTACCATTGCTATCTTTTGCACCACTAACCTATTTTGAGCGTATTCTCACCCATGTTTGCTTTGTTGTGGTGTTTTGTACTCTCTTGAAGTACAAATAATCAAGGGTGTTAGGTTTTAAGGTGTTACACCAAGCGGCTAGAGTGTTGTACACGACTATATTTAATGGTATTTCAGGGTGTCACATCCTTATATGATGACACCGGATGCTCCAAAAGATCCATATAAGTCAGCTCATTAAGAGAAGATACTGGAGAAGGAGCATGCTAGGGCATATCATGTTGTTGATGTGTTGCCTAGATGTTGACGTATCATAGATATTGGGCAGACAGATATTAATAGAGGACTATTTTCGAATGACTTTAAGTCGATGGATGTTCAAGATGTCATGATGAGGGAGACACGAAATACACTGCAGTGCAGGAGGCATCATAGGATCAGGGGGGGGGGGGGGGCAAGTCTGTCATATCCAATAATATATAGTATTTGTAACATGAGCACTATTTTCGATTCTATTTTATTTTGACTTCATTTTGTTCTTCAAAGTTATTAATTCATATGTATTATTTTATATTATTTTGAAAGTGTGTGGTTTAATTTATACAAAATTGAAAAAAATATTATAACTATAATATATCGTCAAATTTATTAGAGAATCTCTAAATCAAACAAAAAATTATTATTTGGTGTGGTTCTGGCGATGCATTTCTGGAACAATTTATGTTAAAAAAAGACGTTTCACTTAGGAATGCATGAGGTGTACATAAATTTGTTTTGAAGATTCATTTTCGGAATAACTTAAAAAAAAAAGAGATGATACTCAGTTGGGGTATGTTTCACTACGAAACAAATGCACATGAAAATGCACTTCTATATCAAAATAACATTTTTGAGTTTTCATAAGGTGCTTTTCCACCACTTAAGGTGGAATTAGCAATTAAAAAAAAACTATCACCCTCAAAATAGATTTCACTTATCAAAACATATACTTACTTTTATTATTTCCTTAACTGAAATAAGAAGTCTATAATATTTATCATAATTAATATACATGTCCGTGACTAAGTTAGATTAACAATCACAATAAAAAAATTTAACGAACAATTATTGTTAGTCGTTCCTCTCATCTCCCATACATTTATGTAAGTTAAAAAAACAACTATTTTTCAGGCCTGATTCATTCTTAACCTTTTGCTCTTGATATGAAACATTTACGCATACATTAAGTAAATGTGTAACACATAGCAATACATCGATATGTTATAGACAAGGAAGTTGTAGTATATTTCCTTCATAAATTTCAATATATAATTTACATATTTAACGAACAAAGAAAGAATAAAGAGGGTCCTGATTTGTTTGTCTTAAACACTCATTAAACAAACAATGGACAGAGAAAAACAATTGAAACAAATTTGTTAGGTGAAACATGTGAGTTAGTTAGGAGATATTGGTGAAATGAATGTTGGAGTTGAAATTCGAACTCGAGATGCATCTGAACTTCTTCGCTGTTGATGAGAAGTTGAAGCTCTTCTGGAAGACCCTGATGACCCTCTTCTTGGATGTTGCAATTTTATGGTGATACTGAAAAATATGATACATAGAATAAAAAATATAAGACTATATAATCTTCACTCTAAATATTAATGCAGTGTTACAATATTGAAGCTGTGCTCACTTTTGATGGACATCAATATATTGATCAGTTTCATCCAATATATCTTCCTTCAATAATCAAAATAACTAAGTGTCAGCAATATTTGACAGATACACACAAATACCAAACATGACATTGACAATGATAAAGCTTCTATTCGAGCCTTTTGAATAGAAAGGTTTATAGTATATATGAGAGTTAGTAACACTAACCTGAAGAAGCTCTTCCATGACATCTTCCAAAGTTATAATCCCAACCACTTCGTCATCAGATAGAAAGGACTCCATATTCTCTAAAGAAGAAGTACTTGTGTCATGTTGTGTTGATTTATGAAGTGGATCTGAGTCACTACTCTCTTGAAGCATGGCATTCTTCAATGTTGCACTATAATATTCCGAGTCTTCTGATTGCAAATTTGATGCCTCAGTTGAGATGCTAATATAATCATGCGGTAAAAATGATACAACTCCTGCAAAGTCCATAGTTATATTATATCACCATATCTCCTTTTAGTTCCAATTGTTGTAAAAGTTATTTTGGATGAAGCATAAGTAGATTATGAATTGTACCTTGTGTATCAATTGCAGCAGTTCTTATCTTCTCTTTGAGGACAATAGCCATGTGACTTTGACCCTTCTTGAATTGATTCAGAATATCATATAATGGCCAATTTTCACCAACTATGGGAACTCTTCTTATAGTCATAAACTTAATTGGCGTTTCATCTTCAGGACGACAGAACATTAAATTCTTTACCTACACAAACATGGTTGAAACAAGTATTTATGTTATATACATTTAGAAATATGGTTTAATCATAATGCAGAAACAAGACATGAGAAGTTGGTATAAAAAACAAGTAATTACCAAGATAAGTCCAATAATATTTGTTTGTTTTTCAGAGAAAATTGGTATACGACTGTGACCTTTGTTCATTATCATGCCCATTGTATGCCTGTAAATCAAAGTATAAAATGAAAATAAATAAATAAATTAATCAATCTTTAAGAATGATTAATTAATACTAATAGAGATATATAAGAGACATACATATCAAGTTTAGAGTTTATGTCAAGTGAAAAAGTTTGATTCAAAGGTGTCATAGCATCTTTAGCAGTTTTCATTGTTAAATCCAAAGCTCCAGCAATTATTCTAGTTTCATGTAGTGACAATTCTCCACCTTTTCCTGCCTGATTATATAAATTTTATGAGCATACAATTTAATAAAAGTAACATGTTAATTAAGTTATTTGATTGATTTGAGAGTAATTAACTAACCTCATTAGTATGCAAATTGACTAAAATCTTGAGTTCTTCTCTTCCTAAAAGTGCAGTGTGTCCTTTGCCAAGAAGATAATCCAACAACTAACAGGAAAATAGTAAACATACAATTTTCAAAGCTTAAGCATTAAGTAATCAAAATTAAGGATTAATTACCTTACTAATTGGATATGCAACTGGGAAGAAAAGTAGCAAAAGAACTCTAACAAAGGGAGACATTATGGCTCCAAATCTTAAACCATGACGAGAATTCAAAGCTTGAGGAATAACCTATAATGATATTAAATAGCATAAATTTAAACTCGCCACATTTTATTTATTATTAAAAAGTGAATTCTAATAACTAAATTACTATTTCTGGATTTTAATATAAAAAAAATTTTATTTTTTAGATTTATTGAACAATAAATGTATATGAAATATATATAATTCAAATACATTAATTCTCTAATAAATTTAAAAAATAAACATTTTTCTTATATTAAATGAAAAAATATTACCAAAATTTAATTACCTCTGCAATGATACTGACAAGGGCAGCTGCAAGCAAGACAGAAACCCATTCAGGGAACATTTCCTCCATAAGAACAGAAACACCCTACAATAACACAACAAAACTCTTCACTTAGATTTTTTAAAACCAATTAATATCATTGAAGATTTTCAATTTATAAAATCATATTATATTTTAAAATGATATATGTAAAAAAAATACCTCTAGTGCCAATGATTTAGCCATGAGGAGAGTGCATAGAATTAAATGCTCATTCTTAACAATCGACATAATCTTAGCTGCAGATAACATATTTTAAGTTTCATTAGTTTAAGTTCTTAATGTATATTTTTAGTAAAATTAAATATTTATTTTTATATATGTTATTTTTTAGAAGGACCATTTCAATTGAAGATAAATCTGTAGGCAAAAATAAATTAAACAAAAAACCGTAAATAAATTCATAGGTAATATTTTTAAAATATTGAACAAATTATTAATTAATTTGGTAAATACATAAAAAACTATTTTTAAAATATATTTTAATATTTATGAATTATGATTTATTTTATAATTAAAGTAACTAATATAAAAGAATTAACTAAAGTATTTTGAACACTACGAATTAGAACTATTATAATTTTAGTCACTTGTTTTGTATGATTCACGAAATTGATCTCTCTATTTTAAATTTAAACAATTTTAATTTTTCTCTCATACTTTTGCACTAAAACTAATGATATTTTTATTTTTTTAAATGACAAATTACTTATAAAATATGATAAATCGTCGTATATAAATCTATTATTGAATTTTGTAGATGAAAGATATAAGTTAAAAAACAAAAATTTCATTGATTTTCTATTAAAAAATATGAAAAGGTGAATTAAAACTATTTGAATTTAAAATAGAGAATCTAAAAGTATTTGAATTTAAAATAAAAAAAATAATTTTGTGAGTCAGACAAAATAGAGAGATCAAAATTATAATTTAATATTTTTTAAACTATAAACTCTAATAATTTTTTAATTATATTATTTTTGATTGTGACCATGATGTATAAATACTAGAATACATTTGAGTTTTTTAATTAATTTAATATTTTATTTTTTAAAATTTAAAGTTATTAACTATAAATTTATCTACAATTATTTTATTTATTGCATTTTTTTATGTGAGTTTATTTACCTGCAATTTCTTTTGCTTTGGAAGAAAAATCTAAATTATAAACTTCCTAGAGAGTAAAAAAATTACAAATATATTTGCAGGTAAAAATGTAATTAGAAAACATAGTTAATATGGTCTAGAAAAAACTTACTTAAAAAATATTTGAGACTTTATGAGTAATCTCCTTATATTCTTAAATTGATTGTGACATACCTGCATTTTTCTGGATTTGAGGTTGTCCAGCTTTAACAAGAACTTCAAGATCAACTTGGCTGAAGGACAATAGTCCTAGAGCAAGTGCTGATGAAATGGCAGCAAATGCCATAAAAACCCAACACATTAATACTAGAAACCAAAAATGAGTTCCACAACAATGTTCATTTTCATCATTCTTTGAACTCATTATAATTTCTTTACAATGCTTGAGATTATACATGCAATAGGAAGTGTATATATATATAAAATAACACTTTGTAGGAAGCCTGCAAAATTTAATATAAAAATTGGGGTGGATACCCCATCATTAATTCCTAACTCTTTGGAGATTTCTAAGAGGCAAGTTAGGACATTTATAATATATATTTGACAAAGAGAGTAGTGCCTGTCCATATTTGTAATCATTTTCATCAATCAACATGTGTCGTTTTTAATATACGTGTCTTAATCCATATGTGCCAAACATTTAGACAGAATTTTAAAACAATTTGTGAGATTTTATGGAATGTTTTAAAGAGACTTAATTTTCTGTTTGGTTCTTTTTCTTTAATTTTGGGTCTATTTTGATCTTTATTTTTTTTCATGTAGTTTAGTCGTTAAAACTTATCCTTTAAAGATTAACAAATGAGATGTTGCAGATTCGAACATATGCTCTATAATTGATGTCTTTACACAACTACTAAATGAATTGTCTTAACAATTTTTTAACTTTTAGAAAAACATATTTGATCATTTATTTCTTTATAATGTGTCACGTTTCTTTTTTTTTCTTTTCTTTTTATTATGCAAAGTTAAATTAAATAGTCTCGTTAAAAACACAAGATGTTGATGTGGAGATTAGGTGCTATTTAGAGGTTAAATAGTTGATGTGGAGATTAACTTAAGTTAAAACGGAATGGCTAAGTCAAATTTGTTTCAACTCATCAGTTTCGCTTTAACAAAATCCTAGCAGATAAAAGAAGATGAATTAGAAGGAGATAACGAGTGAAAGAGACAATGATTAAAGGTGAAATCATAATCGAAGGAGATAAGGAGTAAAGGCGATTTTTTGTAACACCCTAAAATTTTATTTAGAATTTTATTCAATTTTTGGTATATTTTCTAATTATTTATGTGTTACTTTTAGAATAATAATAATTTAAATTAAAAATTTATTTATATAAAAATATTAGAAATAATAGGAAATTGAAGGATTATAATTAATTAAAAATTATGGGGTTAATAAGCATAAATTATAAAATAAAGGGAGGTGGATAGAATTTATTAAAAATAAAGAAAATTAGTGAGAATAAAATAACTTAAATAAACTAGGTTTTAGTTTGTATAAGAATATAGAGACTTAGAGAACACGTATCAGTTTTGAGAAAAAAGAGAAAAAGAGGCCGACCTTAGAAAAGAGGATTGTAAAAGCAGGATCTCTCTTCACCAAAAACTCAATGTTTTAAGCTTAATCGAGGTAGGGGAGAGATTGTTTTATATTTGGTGTTTAAACTTCGGGATTGTTTACCGTGGATTTTGATAAACAACCGCTAGTCCTCTAAAATTGATACTTTGGTTACTTGCAGGATCGACTAGGTCGATCCTAGGACACATGTGCATAATTTTTTTTTAAGTTCTCTTGATAATGAATATTTCGACACTAATTTGTAACTTTAAAGTAATGCAAGAATAATTTATAAAATACAAAGAAATAAAGAATGACTTCGACTGAAATTTAAAAGGTATGAAAATAACATTAATGTAAATGACTTGATATTGGATGAAAATATGGTGATTCATACGTACATTTCACTCAACAATTTTTTTCTTAACACACTTAGATACTTTGAGTAATATGAGTTTTTTATACAATCGAACACACTGAATCTTGATACTAAGACCCTTATTTATACTAAATTAACAGTAACGGTAACGAACGGCCTCCTCTCCAGAGAATGACACGTTTTTGTTTGCATGTGTTTCGCCCTTCACAGGCTTTCATGTGTCCTTCAAGAAATAGATAATGCTAAAATATAGTTAATCAATTATATCATCGAAACCAACATCAAACTAGGTCCAAAATATTCTAAGTCCTAGAATGATACCATCATGTAGAAGTAGACATCTCTTCACCAATATTCAGTCGAAATCCCACCAAAATCTTCTTAGTAGAACTCGACTTACTTGCTCCAAATATTCTTTTCACTTTTCCTTGACATTTCAAAATTTTCTTAGCGTCGAAATTCCAGCTAACAAATTTCTCCCCAAAAAATGTCTTTTTTGACAAAATGGAGAAAAATGACATTTTTAGAATGCTTCGACGCTACAATTATTCTTACTGCTATGACGTCATGGTCATTATGACCTCTTTTTCTCAAACGTCTCATCGAGACGTGCAACATCCAAACAATAATCATGATCCCTAGTTTGTAGGACAATCGTGGCATCTAAAAAGTAATTGCTCATCCTATCCTCTGAAACATGAACACGTGTCCCATGATTTCATCCCATTTGCCACCTCATAGAAACTGAATAGTTTCTTTCTTCTTCTATAAATACTTCTCATCTTCCTCATTTGAAAATTTTCCATCTTTCAACCCTAGAACTCCATTGCATCTGTGATCTTTAAAAATACTATAAAAAAAAATCTTTTTTACTTCAGATTTTAGCTTTTCATAATGGTATCTTCAAAATCAAGGAACAACAAAGCTGTCAAGAATAAAAAAGATGTTCTACCACCCATTACTCAAATTCCTAAGCCATTGTTGATGGGAAATCAAGAATATGTTTCTGAACCACCTCTGCAGGAAGAAAAATGCAAGATTTATCAATCTTAGGTAATTATTCCTTTCTCTATTACTGGCAAGCCCCATGCATTTATGGGTCCTTTGCCTAATCTTAGTGTAGATGCTGAAAAACTCAGAATTTTCCCCTGCTTACCACCGTACTAACCACATATCTAGCAAAATAAAAACAATAGTCACTAGTGAAGATGTTAGTGCTAAACCAGATTCTAAAAATGACGAATCCAAGGGCTAAAAACAAAGTTGATCCCTAGGAAAAACCTTGGTTGAAGCCCCAAAACTCAAAGACACAACTGAGATAGAACTAGAAAAAACCCTTAATCTTGACTATATGAGAAACACTCTTAGAGTGTTTCACTTTTGTCCCTTATCTAGAGACTTTGAAGCTTATCTTGTCTGGCTTGCAAAGGTTTAAAAGAAAAAAATCTCAAATCTGGAAAGAAATAGGAATTTTGACATGATTCAATTGTCAATAGTGGGACCAAAATATTGTCAAAATATGTTGGTTGCCTCTTTATATTTCTGGGACAACACTACCGATACCTTCCATCTCCCTTGCGGGATGATTACCCCAACCTTATTTGACATTGCTACAATCACTAGTCTTCGACCAACTGAAGAGACTTTCGACCTCTATGAAATGAATGAAGACACCATTAGATTTGACACTTGACAAGCCAACTTCACCCACTACATAGCTGATCACCATAACACCGAAAGCAATGAAGTATCTGACAAAGAACACATTGCCTTTTTGGCACTCTGGTTATCTCGTTGCATCTTCTATTGTAAATCACTGAAGGTGCTGAAAAGGTTTTTAACTCTGGCGAATCAATTGCAAGCTAGACGCGACATCTGCCTTAGTCAGCTAATACTGTGATGACTTTATGAATCCTTAGGAGATGCTATCGAAATATTTGAAGAACTATCAACTAGGGACAAACCTATTGATGGTTGGTCCATATTGGTTGCTTCAGTTGTAGCTCAATGCTACTTCTGAACCTTCGCTTAGAACCAACAACACACTCAACGAAAATGACTAAGCCATTAAAAATAGGATAGTCGAAGGAACTCGGTTTGTCCGATTGACTCCTACTGATGAGGGACTAATTTTGAAAGAAGCCTTTACTGGGTACGTGATGATGTTCGCCAAACGCCACAATTTTACTCCATCCATGGCTCCTTTTGCTAATAGGATTCATGGTCCCGAATGGTTCAATGGAGAATTCCCTGCTCCTTCGACAAATCAAGAAGAAGAATCTTTGGCCCTATGGGAAGCATTATTTATCCCTAGGTTAATTGTGATTAGACTTAGGCCTTCAAATGACCAGTTTAACTTGCTCAGTTACCAGCCTAACCTTGTCTCCCGACAATTTGGTGTTAACTAATTACTTCCTAAACTACTTTACAATAAGAAAGGCACTTTCTGTTTCCATAACATGATTCTCTCTGAAGTTGAATGTGATAAATGTCTAGCTTGACATGCCTTTGAAGCAGCCTATTGAAGGTGAGAAAATACTTAGAAGGGGGGTTGAATAAGTATGAATTTAAAAAATTGGAAATAAAAACTCAAGTATTTTTATCCTGGTTCGTTGAACTCAACTACTCCAATCCACCCTTCCTAGAGTGATTTTCCTTTCTCAATCAAGGACTTAATCCACTATTTAATCAGCTGATTACAATAGTAAGCACTAAGAACAACTATTCAAAGTCTTCTCAAGAACTACTGATCCTAACTGGATCTTCTTAAGGTTTTCTTACAATCAAATGTAATAACAAATACAAGTGTTTAAAATGATTCTAATAAAGCTTTATCACAACTGTGATTTTTCACTTAATATTAAGAACAAAGAAATTAATTCTAGAAAGAATGTGAGTTGTATGAGAGCTTTGAATAATGAATTCTTTTCAGGTAAAACGTCCACTGAAGAAGATGGTTGGAGACTTCCTTTTATAGGCACATTGATCCAAGAGTATTTCACGTTGAGAAGAGTGTACCAAAAGGTCTGAGCCTTTTTGTCTTCACATCAAGTGACCTTTCCTAGAATAAGAAAGCACAGAGAAATCCTTTTTGTCTGTGTTCTTGTGTCTAGAATAAATAAGGAAAGAGTCGTTTAGATATTCCAACGGACATAATCTTTGAATTCTTCTTCACCAATTTTCAGCAAGAATCATCAGAGTCTAATTTGATCAGATCCTTCTGATGTTGATCAGAGTTTTGCTGAATCAGAGTCTTTGCAGCAAGTGTGCTTTTAGCGTGTATAAGTTCAGAGCATATTTGAGTCAGATCCTCAGTACTGGCAGCTTTTGTACTCTCAGAATCTTCTGTAGTAACTATGCTTGAAAACTCTTCATACAAAATTCTTCTTTGGTCCAGATGCTTCTGACTTGCTTCAGATTCTTC